ACCTCCACCCCAGACCTTTGGTTTTAAATTGGGGCAGGGGCAACCTGCTATTTACCTAAGTGGTTCCGAACCTTCTCTCCCCTGGACCCAATCTCTAATTGTATCCCTTCACCTATTAAAGCCTGTCTTATATCTAACCCTAACCCTGTCTTATATAATTAGCATAAAGAAGAGTACCATGGACTGAAAATCAAATATGAGAAGACAATGCTCTATATGACAGAGAACCAGACAGTAATAGGGGCAACTAGACCAGTATTTGTGGATGGGTTGGAGAGACAGAAAGTCTTTTTAAAAGGGTGAAAGCTAGCCCAGCACGGCCACATAGGATAGCAATGTCAGAACCCCATGACGCTGAGCCAGGAGGGTCACAAGCTAAAAGCTCTGCCTGGGAAACTGAGCCCCTTAGTGAGACCTTGTCTCCAAATACACAATAAAAAGGTCTCAGCGTACAACTCAGTGTGAAGGCTCTGAGCTCAATCCCCTGTATCAAAAGAAAAAAAGAAAGAAAGAAAGAAAGAAAGAAAGAAAGAAAGTGGCAGGCATCTCCTCCATAAGTATATGAGTTTGTCCCCAAAAGCTACCATCTTGATTAGGGACTAACCGTTTGTACAAATGGAATCATATCGTATATCATCTTTTGTGACTTGCTCTTTGCCCCACTGTGATAGAAATGTTAGAAATCAACAGTTGGATGCTCTGTTAAGACACGATGTGCTCACCCAGCCCACCACACAGACCATTACACTGAGTGAGCCTTGACTGACCAAGTCAGGTGCACCTGAGAGATAGCCCTGCGTCAGTGCGACCACGTCCACCCCGACTGCCTGTGCTGTCTGACATATAAACATACTCCATCTTCAAGGGCTGTCCAACCAGGATAAACTAGTCAGGGACACACTTAGTCCAGGCCCCCTCAGCCCCAGCTCCCTCCCCGTTTTCTCCACCTTATGACAAACAACCCCTCTGCCTAACCTGCCCAGAACAAACTTTCCTGACAACCTATGACTTGATTCATGTTACCAAGTATATGATAACCTATATCAGCTTTTGTACTTCCTGCTTCTGTAATGTGTATCAGTTTCTCTTTCTTTCTTTCTTTTTTTTGTATCAGGGATCAAACTCAAGACCTCATGCTTGCCAGGCAGGTGCTTATGTCACTGAGCTAAATCCCTGACCCCCGCTTTTATTTTTTTGGTACTGGGGATTGAAATTACAACCTCACGCTTGCCAGGCAGGCACTTATGCTGCTGAGCTAAACCTCTGGTCTTCAGCTTCTGTTTCACTCTCAGTTGCTGCTGTTGATTTTGACTTGGTCCCACCAGCCTGCTAGCATAATAAACAGTTGCCTTCACACTTGCCTTGCAAGCAGGTGGTCATGAGTTCGATCCCTGGTACCGATTTAAAAAAACAAAAACAAAAAACAGTTGCCTTCTAACCCCTTTGTGAAGAGGGCCTTCCATTTGATATCAGATTTCTGAAGCACCACAACACTATGTTCCTCAATTTCTTACTATAATTCATTCATTTTCACTGCTGTATAATGTTCTAACAAATGGCTACACACTATTTTATGTTTCACTAAAGATATGCATGTCTTTTTTTCCCCCTTTCTCTCTCTCTTTTCTTGAGACTGGGTATCACCAAGTCACTGAGTTGCCCAAGTCAGGCTCAAATTTGTGATTCTCCTGCTTCAGCCTCCCAGAATGCTGAGCTTACAGACAGGCAATACCATGTTTGGCTCCTGTTTTGTGTCTTAAAAGGGCTACGAATGAGTGTCTCCTTCTATGAATGGCCACATTCCCTTCTGAGTGTATTCCTTTTTCTGCCTAATAAACTTTTTAATGCCTCTTAAAAAAAAGTACAACAAGCATTTTCTCACACACATTCAAGCACAAATGTGAAAGCTTTTTCCAGGACACTTAAGAGAAGAACTGCTGGCCTGAGATATGCACAATTTTAAATTTAGTACAGTAGTCAATGTCAAGTTGTCTTCCAAAGTAGTTGTTCTAATTCATCCTCCCATCATATAAGTTTTCTCCTGCGACTCCACATCCAACACCACTTACTGTGGAACCTTTTAATGTTCGCTGATTCTAAACATAAAATGGTACTGTTATGCTTTAACACACACGTTCCCTGATTGCCAATGAATCTAGCACTGTCTTACTTTTCTCTTGTTGCTGGGACAAAATTCCTGACACCCAAAGTTAAGGGAGGAAAGGTTTATTTAGCTCACTGTTTGTAGAGGCTTCAATCCATCATCAGCTGGCTCCAAGTCAGGGTGCCACATGGCAGCAGGAATAACAGTTCATGGTGGTGGAAAACAGGAAAAGCAAAGGAGAAAAGAGGGAAACAAGCATCTTTTTATCCAGACTGCTGGGATTGGGGTGGTGCCAATCCAACCTGCAGACTGACCCAGCAATCACCCAGCCTTAATCCCTGAACCCTTCAGTCCAGCACTGAATTATGCATCAGTCACATCCTACATTCAGATGCCTCTGAAAAAGCCCCACGGCATGAAGCTTGGGGGCGGTACCCAGACACAAACCATAACAAGCACCTTCATGTGATTGTAGTTTATCTTCTGTGAAGTATCTATGTTTTTATTTCTGTTACTATCTTTTTCATTTAATTTGTAAAAGTTTTTCACCTAGTTTTCTCAATCAAAAAATAATCTGTATATCAAATTACACTGACAATGTCCCGAGACTATTTGGTTAGTTATAACTGGGTATCAAGTAGGTAGAGGTCAGTGGTCCTACAGGGCACAGGATAATCCTCCCATAACAAGAAATTAATGGGCTCAATGTTTATAGCACCAAAATCAAGAAACTTTGTCCTACATGGTACTACTTTATCAGTTCTATGATCTGTATTTTCTCAGTTTGTGGAGATTTTCATTTCTTCCTGGTGCTTTTCTTTTTAATACTGGAGACTGAATTCAGAGCCTTTTCCCTGAGCTAACATGTGTCTCACATTCATTTACTTGTGGATTTGATCATGCAAGATTTGCTAACCACTCCTTTTTTATTCTTTTGAGGTGAGGTCTCGCTATGTGATTACCATGTCTAGCACATGTAGAAATTAGAGGGAACTAATTGTGCCCTTAAATTGATGGGGTCAAATTTGTTAACTCTGGAGTTCTATTTAGAATATGTAAGAGAAAACAGTTTAATAGAAACTTAAGGCCTGTATTTACCAAAGAGAATATACAGCTCTCTTGCAGGGACATGGGTGTGGATCCTCTCTGGTGGGGTTTTTTTTTTTTGGTCTTTTTGAGACAAGCTCTCTCTATGCAGTTCAGGCTGGCCTTAGCTCATTTTATAGCCCAGTCTAGTCTCAAACTTGCAAAGATCTTCCTGCCTCAGCCTTCTGAATGCTGGAATTACAGGCTGCCATGCCCAGCTTCTCTGGTGGTCTCTAAGGAGATTTTCATGTATAAGAGATATTAGTTTTGACACAATTTACACACATTAAATAAGCAATTTTAAAAGGAATGTTCAAAGGCAAGAGTCATCACAGAGACAAAGGACACACAGAAATAGAACTTTCCAGTGTTGTACTAATTTGTAACACTGCAAACTGGACTGAGAAATGAACTTGTTCTGCAGTGATACCACAGAAGCCATGAACGCAGGTTTTTGTTTGTTTGTTTGTTTCCTTTTTTTGGAGACAGGCTTGTTTTGAACTCACCATGTTGCCCAGGCTGGCCTCAAACTTGCAGCGATTTCCTGCCTCAGCCTTTGGAGAGCTGGGTTTAGATTTGTGCCACTAAACACAGATTTTGACTACATGCCAGCGGGGAAGGTGGAAGGCTAAGGCTGTTTTCCTGCAGGAAGTAGTGGCAGTCCGGCCTGTGAGGCGAGTCCCTAGCTGAGGCCAAGACCATGCAGACCTGCAGACCTGCAGACCTCGGGGGGCGAAACATGGGTTCACCGGGCAGGAGGCAGGTGCTCACAAAGCCCCCCCCCCCCCAGCCGGTGTGGAACGCGCACAGAGGAGCCCCCTCATCCTTCTGCAACGACCTGGACAGCCCACTTACTTTTGGGGAAGGGCCTGGCGCTGTAACCCAGGCTGGCCTCCAACTGGGCATCGTCTTGCCTCAGCCTCCCCCGCCTGTGATTACAGATACCTTTGTGTCTGAAGTGTTTTAACTGTTGGAAAATACAATTCAGTTTAGGCACCTGAGCTTTTAACACGACAGGTAAGTATCTGGCTCAAATCTAACAAACTTTTAGTCTGACTGCCTGAATACCGAAAATGGGAACATTTCGGCAACTCTCTGAGAGTTCACGCCCCGCTCAGGACTAAGTGCGCAGAGGATGCAGGGTCTGGTGGGGTCCTTAGCGGGAGCCAAACCGCTGCCGTCAGCCTCCGCCTCTCCTTTTCTCACGGATGGGAGCTCAGTGTGGGGCCTCGCGACTAATCCCAGCACCTCGGGAGGCAGGGGCAGGAGGATCGCAAGCTCCAGCCCCCAGCCTGGCCAATGCAGCACTGAGCGACGTCGTGTCACAAATATCTACGAGGGCCCTGCACTCAGTCCCTTGTACCAGAAACAAAATAAACCTCGGGCGCCACCGGGGTGGAAAGAACGCCGCTGTCACCCGTTCCCGGGCAGCTGCTCACAGAGGGGAACAGCTTCAACTCGGGCGTGAGGAAGCGGGGCCGGAAGTCTGTCCTGGAGGTCTTCGCTGGCCATGGACGGAAGCGCAGGATTGCGACCCCGGGGACCCGGGATCCCGACCCACTTGAGGAGCACCGAAAGCGCGCGCCACCTCCGCCCGCCACCGCGGGGCGGCCCGCCGGCTGGGTGAAGTCATAGGGGCGGGCCGCGCCGGGTCACGTGACCTGCGCCGGGGCAGGGCCCGGCGTGCGCGGGAGCACGCAGAGAGGCTCGGCCGCGGACGCGCGCCTTTGCGTGCGCGCTCCCGACGGGGGCGGGGCCGCGGGCGGGTCTCCGGCGCGCGCGGCGGCGGGGGCGGGGCCGGGATTCCGCGGGGTGCAGGCGGGGCCTTCCCGGCTGCTGGGGTGGTGGCGGCGGCGGCAGCGGCGGCGGCGGCGGTGGGAGCCCGGCGGTCCGCGGAGCGCAGCCTCAGCCATGACTGCGGAGCTGCAGCAGGACGACGCGGCCGGAGCGGCTGACGGCCACGGCTCGGTGGGCCCGCGTTGCGAGGGGAGCTGCCGGGCTCGGGCGCGGAGGGGGCGGCGGGGCGCGGGGCGCGGGAGGCCGGGCGGGGCCTGCAGGCTGGGGCCCGGGCTGGCGCGGGGCTCGGCGGGTGCGGCTGCTCCGGGGAGCTGCGGGCTGCGTGCCCCGCCGCACAGACCGAGGGCTCTGCCACCCGGGCGGTGGCGAGCTGCGGCTGGAGGGCTGGGTTTTCTGGAGAGCCGCGGATAAAGGGTGCACGTGGGGCAGGGGCATCGGGGTCACTCGGAAAGGTGCTCCTCGGCCCGGCCTGGAGGGGAACTTCCGAAAGCGGCCGCGTTTATTGTTTGACTCTTAAATCAGATTTATGGCACTGTTGTTTTAAAAAGTCTAAAGCAAACGGAAGTTATCTCACGTAAAGCCAAGATTTATCAACAAAGTGTGAAAAGCCTAGGTCCCCTAGTTACCGCCTCCTTTCTTCCGCCTGGGCTCCCCCCCACCTTCAGTTCTTTTAAACTAGACCAGCCTCGCCGATTATTGTATTTATCGTTAGGTTTTGAGGCGGGGGGGAGGAACCAACCGCGCAGTGAATGAAAGATTTGCTCATTGTGCTGCGCTGTTCCTGATACCTAAGAGGACTGAAACCGATGCAAGGATTCCTGGGTGAAAGCAAGAGAACACTAGTTTTTTTTTTTTAACTTTTTATCGGTACTAGGGATCGAACTCACGACCGCCTGCTTGCAAGGCAGGTGCTTATGCCGATGAGCTAAATCCCCAGCCCGAGAACACTAGTTTGGAGCAAACTGAAAGACTGGTGGTCCGAGGTGGGGAGTTTTGGGAAGTGGGCAATTTGAGAATGTCTTCTAGTGTTACTTTGGAATGTTATAATGACTCTACACCCTTTGAGTACTGCAGTCTTACAAAACAGAATGGGAAATCTGTGTCAAAAATGCTCAGATACGAGTTTGGATCTGAGAAACTTAGATACTCCAAATGAAAAACGGGTAAATGTGTTTTCTTTGGATGCACTCACAATCTCAAAAGCATATAATACGGACAGGTAGAATAAAAATAAGGAAAAGAATAGTTTCCTGTGCTGATTTCTAATAGAGATGTTATTGTTATGTGTTCACCAGTGTCTTTTGGAATTCGAATCAGGATTTTTGTCTTGTTTGGTTTCAGAGATCAGTTCTATTTGCTTTTAGGACAGTGACTTAAAAACCGGTGGGGACATTTTAGTTTTGAGATAGTCACATTGCTTTAGAGAAGAGACTGTTTTAAGGGTGAGCAAGTCATCCTTAAATTTGTAGGGGGGGTTGTCTTTTAAAATTTGGTGCCTGTTAATCAGCTGCATTTTCATTTACCTCTGCCTCAGTTTGAGTAGTGACCCAGTTTCAGCACTCTGTGTGAGAATTTGTATGTGAGGTGTTTGATGAGCATTTGTATTTAAGTCATAGCTATTTTAGGAAGGCTTGCGGCTCTAGAGGCTGTGGCTGGCTGCAGTACTCTGATTCCTGGCGACCTGCAGAGTGATGACATTTCTGTTCTTCCTAGTGATTTGCCCTACACTGACAGATGATAAACTTGGAATGCTTGATAATATTTGCCCTTTTTGTTTTTGCTAATGCAAAATGTTTGAAGCTAGCAGGTTAGATTGAAGGAATTCAATGTCTTGGAAGATTTTAATAACTTCCTTTTCTCGTATGCTAGAATGAACTCTTTGTTTTGAATTCTTGCAGCATTCTGTCTTTCCTTTAAAGGATGTATACTTATTCTAGTTGAGGGGAGCTCACCTCTGATACTGAAAAGCTATTTATTGAGTCTTTTTTTTTGTTTGTTTGTCTTTTTACTTTTTATCGGTACCGGGGATCGAATTCATGACTACCTGCTTGCAAGGCAGGTACTTATGCCGCTGAGCTAAATCCCCAGCCCCCTGAAAAGCTATTTAAAACCTATAACACTACCCTTCCCTTGTTGGTCAGTTGTACCCAAGACAGACAGAATCTTTTATAGTCTCCCAAGAATTTCAGTGAGAGGAAAATGTGGTACTCTTGAAATACGCTTGCAGTGTGTACAGGAGTCCAAGAATGGACATGGTGTGGGTACCACTAAACCCTCCAGACTGTAGACTGATTACTTCTAATGCTCACTTACTGCCAGGTGCCTGTATTTTAATCAATTCTTGGCTTAGATGAAAACCAGTAGGAAAGTTTCATGTTAACTGAAAGATAAATAACTTGAAGTCATTTTGTTTGTTTTGTTTTGCTTTTGTCTTTTTGAGACAAGGTCTTGCTATATAGTTCAGGCCGGCCTTGAGCTGACTTTGTAGCCCAGGCTAGACTCAAATTCACAGTGATCTTCCTGCCTCTGCCTCCCAAGTGCTGGGATTACAGGTGTGCACCACCACAGCTGGCTGGATTTTTATAAGACTGTTATTTTTATCAGCAGTATTAAAGGTTCACGTCATATATTCCTTTTTAAATAGGATCTATAGGGCTGAGGATTTAGCTTAGTGGCATAAGCATCTGCCTGGCAAGCTTAAAGTCGAGAGTTCAAAAAAAGAAAGAAATAGGGTCTGTATAGTGGTTTAGACAGCAGGATCAGGCCTCCTGGTCCTCCTCCTTCCACGTCTGAGTGCTGGGATTGTGGGCATGTGCCACTATGCCTGACTTTTGTTGTTGTTTTTAAATAGATACACATCTTTTATCTTTCCCTCAGATAATTTTTTACAGTTTACAGTACATAATTATATTCATTGTGATGAACACATCGTGCATTGCTTATGTGAGCTGTGAAAACCAACCAATTTCAGTGCAATTTTAATGCCCTTTTCTTTTCTCTTAATTTATTAGGCTCATTTACCTTGTAATTTTTGGAGCATCAGTAAGTCGAGGATTTTTGGAGCATTTTAGTAAGTTATCCCCTCAGTGGCAGTTACTGGTTCACCACTTTAGGATGGTATGTAGTATTTATTTATTTATTGTTTTTTGGAGATAGGGTCTATTACGCAGTTCAGGCTGGCCTTGAAGTCTCTTGGTAGCCCATACTGGCCTTGAACTTGCTGTGATACCCCTGTCTCAGCCCCTGGGAGTAGAGGGATTGCAGGTGTGCACCACTGTGCCTGGCTCAAGTGAGTATTTTTGAGACATACTAACAGTGTCTTACCAGGCCACCTGTTGCCCTGTGCTCTACTTCATCAAAGAAATTTAAGCTAGTAGCAAAGTAAAGCAAGTCGTGTATAGGGGAATGTTGATACTAAGTACCAGCTGACTTTAATTGAGCCTGTGTTGTCTGCCAGGCCCTGTCCTCAGAATTTAACAGAACGATCTTAAGCCTATTAAAAAAAGCTTGTGTTTGTTAAATAATTTGTCCAGGATCACCCAGGTAGGAAATGGTACAGCTAAGATCAAACCTAATCAATTCTGCATCCAAGAGCCCAAGACGTTTCTTAGTTCAGTGGTGGTGAACCTAGAATAGCCCCGGAGCTGGAGTAGGCTGTTTGTATTGTCCAAAGCTCTAAAAGGGTTGCCATCGGTGTCTTAGTTGGTAGAGCCATTGTTCTGGGCCAGAAACTTTTTTTTTTTCTTTTCTTGTGAAACAGGGTCTTGCTGTGCAGTTCAGGCTGGTCTTCAGCTCGCCTTGTAACCCAGGCTGGTCTTGAACTCGCCTCAATCTTCCTGCCTCAACCTTCCTCCCGGTGCTGTGGTTACAGCATGGGGCACCAGGCCTGGCTCTCAGGACCTTTCTGTTACTCTTTTAATGTCTTCTTTGGAATCTTCTGATGTTTTAAGCTTCTAAGCCCGATCAGTGCGTAACCTTTTCTCCTTGACTGAGCTCCCTGATGTCTGTGGAGAGGATCCTGTTTTGTCTTCTGTCCAGTCCACTCTCCCAACATCTTTTATATCATTGGAAAAATAACACTTCCTTGTATCCCTTTGTATTTTAGAGATAAACCTGGATCAGTGGTTTTTACAGGTGAGAGATGTTGTTGTTGTTGTTGTTGTTGTGTTGTGTGTGTGTGTGTGTCTGTGAGTGTGTGTCTTTTTGAGACAAGGTGTTTCACTGTGCAGTTCAGGCTGGCCTTGAGCTCACTTGGTAGCCCAGGCTGGTCTCAAACTTGTAAAGATTCTCCTGCCTCGGCCTCCTGACTGCTGGAACTACAGGAATATGCCACTGCGCCCAGCTTTTTTGTTAGTGTTTTTTTGAGACAGGGTTTCTGCTGTGTAGTTCAGGCTAGCTTTGAACTCACAGCTAAGGCTGGCCATGAATTTGTGTTGATCTCCTGCCTTAGACTCTTGAGTGCTGGGATTACAGGCAAACACCACCCAGCTAGAATGAGAAATTTTGCACTCTAGGCAACATTTTTTTGGTTTGTTTGTTTTTGGGTACCAGGGATCAACTCACAACCTTGCATTTGCCAGGCAGGCGCTTATGCCCCTGAGCTAAATCCCAGGCCCTCCAGGTGACATTTGACAACATTTAGGACTTTGTAAAATTTTCGGAGGTGGTTTAGTTTGTGCTCCTGGCATCTAGTGGGTAAGTAGCAGGGATACTGCTAAACTACGGTGTACTAGGGCCCCACCCCATCTCCAGCCGAGAGTTTGTGGCTTCGTGTAAATACGTTGATTGGAGAATCCTTGATCTAGGTGCTGCTGCTGCTGCACGCTTGGTAGGTCGCCTTCTTTAATCCTCAGCTCCTCTCCAGAAACCTTCACTGTGTGGCATTCTTGGTACTCAAATGAACCAGGGGCATCACCTAAGATTTCGACTGGTGGAGTTGCATGTGTGAGAGCCAGCACGCCCTCTTCTAGCTAATGGTGTACACTGCTGCTCCGTTCTGTGTTGAGAGTTTGAACCACTGATGTGGAAATATCAGTACCAAGGAAACAGGCACACGCTGCTGAAGGCAGATCCCTAAATGAGTCATTAAATTTGAGAAGTTTATGGCTTGAAGGTTTGCCCATGTTTGTGCCCAATCCAAAGTATCGATGACAACAGAATGGTCCAGCTGT